TATACGTTTCACTGTAAACACCTGGTCCACACACCCCCTACCTTTCCTAAAGCCTCCTTGTTCATCTGCTATCCTATTCTCCGTCTTACTCTTAATTCTTTCAATAATAACTCTACCATACACTTTGCCAGGTATACTCAACAGACTTATTCCCTATAATTTTTGCACTCTCTTTTATCCCCTTTGCCTTTATACAAAGGAACTATGCATGCTCTCTGCCAATCCCTAGGTACCTTACCCTCTTCCATACATTTATTAAATAATTGCACCAACCACTCCAAAACTATATCCCCACCTGCTTTTAACATTTCTATCTTTATCCCAAACAATCCGGCTGCCTTACCCCCTTTCATTTTACCTACTGCTTCACGAACTTCCCCCACACTCACAACTGGCTCTTCCTCACTCCTACAAGATGTTATTCCTCCTTGCCCTATACAACGAAATCACAGCTTCCCTATTTCATCAACATTTAACAATTCCTCAAAATATTCCCTCCATCTTCCCAATACCTCTAACTCTCCATTTAATAACTCTCCTCTCCTATTTTAACTGACAAATCCATTTGTTCTCTAGGCTTTCTTAACTTGTTAATCTCACTCCAAAACTTTTTCTTATTTTCAACAAAATTTGTTGATAACATCTCACCCACTGTCTCATTTGCTCTCTTTTTACATTGCTTCACCACCTCTTAACCTCTCTCTTTTTCTCCTATACTCTTCCCTTCTTCCCTCACTTCTACTTTGTAAAAAACTTTTTCATATGCTAACTTTTTCTCCCTTACTACTTTTCTTTACTCATCATTCACCAATCGCTCCTCTCCCCCCCCACCCCTTTCCTGTAACCCCCAAACTTCGCTGAACACTCAACACTACATTTTTAAAACCCACCCCCAAACCCCTCGACCCCCTTGCCTATGCCTCATTAGCCCATCTATCCTCCAAAAGCTTTTATATCTTACCCTAACGCCTCCTCTTTTATTTTTTAAAACCCTTTACCTCCTCTTTCCCCGATGCTTTATTCTCCTTGTATCCCATCTACCTTTTTTTTCCAGTGTAGCTACAACAGAAAGTGACGATATATCGGGCCCCCCCTAAAACATTACATCCGAAGTCACTCAACAGTCTTTTTTCACCCCAAACATAACCAACAAAATACTGTCATTTGCCCCACATCATATCTTGTATACTTATTTTTCCTCTTTTTTTTTAAAAAATGTTTACCTATAACTAAACCCCTTTCTATGCAAAGTTCAAGAAAGGGTCCCATTATCATTTTCACCCGGCACCCCATACTTACCTACCAAAAAAATAAAAATAAAATTTTATATATATATATATATTTAAAATATATATAAAAAATTATATTTATATATATATATATAAAAAATATATATTTAAAATATAAAAAATAATATAATAATATATAAATATATATATATATATATATATATAATATATATATTATATATTATATATATAATTTTAAATTATATATATAAAAAATAATTAAAATATATAACACACACACACACACACACACACCACCCAGGGAGGTACTACCGTCTGCCAAGTGAGTGTTAAAACGAAAGCCTGTAATGTTTTACATGATGGTAGGATTGCTGGTGTCTTTTGTCTGTCTCATAAATATGCAAGATTACAGGTACGTCTTGCTACTTCTACTTACACTTAGGTCACACTACACATACATGTACACGTTTATTTATACACACTCATCTGAGTTTTCTTTGATTTTATCTTAATAGTTCTTGGTCTTATTACTTTTCCTTTTATATCCATGGGGAAGTGGAATAAGAATCTTTCCTCCGTAAGCCATGCGTGTTGTAAAAGTCAACTAAAATGCCGGGAACAATGGGCTAGTAACCCCTTTTCCTGTAAAGATTACTAAAAAGAATAAGAAGAAAATTGTCAAAGTGGGAAGTCTGAATGCGCGTTGATGTTGTGCAAATGATAAGAAAGAGATGATTGTGGATGTTATGAATGAGAAGAAGCTGGATGTCCTGGCTTTAAGTGAAACAAAGCTGAAGGGGGTGGGAGAGTTTCAATGGAGAGGAATAAATGGGATTAGGTCAGGGGTTTCAAATAGAGTTAAAGCTAAAGAAGGAGTAGCAATAATGTTGAACGATAAGTTATGACAGGAAAAGAGGGACTACAAATGTATAAATTCAAGGATTATGTGGAGTAAAATAAAGATTGGATGTGAAAAATGGGTTATAGTAAGTGTGTATGCACCAGGAGAAGAGAGAAGTGTAGAGGAGAGAGAGAGATTCTGGGAAATGTTGAGTGAATGCGTGGGGAGTTTTGAATCAAGTGTGAGAGTAATGGTGGTTGGGGATTTCAATGCTAAAGTGGGTAAAAATGTTATGGAGGGAGTAGTAGGTAAATTTGGGGTGCCAGGGTTAAATGTAAATGGGGAGCCTTTAATTGAGCTATGTGTAGAAAGAAATTTGGTAATAAGTAATACATATTTTTATGAAAAAGAGGGTAAATAAAAAATACAAGGTATGATGTAGCACGTAATGAAAGTAGTTTGTTAGATTATGTATTGGTGGATAAAAGGTTGATGGGTAGGCTCCAGGATGTACATGTTATAGAGGGGCAACTGATATATCGGATCATTATTTAGTTGTAGCTACAGTTAGAGTAAGAGGTAGATGGGAAAAGAGGAAGGTGGCAACAACAAGTAAGAGGGAGGTGAAAGTGTATAAACTAAGGGAGGAGGAAGTTCGGGTGAGATATAAGCGACTATTGGCAGAAAGGTGGGCTAGTGCAAAGATGAGTAGTGGGGGAGTTTGAAGAGGGTTGGAATAGTTTTAAAAATGCAGTATTAGAATGTGGGGCAGAAGTTTGTGGTTATAGGAGGGTGGGGACAGGAGGAAAGAGGAGTGATTGGTGGAATGATGAGTAAGGATGTGATAAAAGAGAAAAAGGTAGCTTATGAGAGGTTTTTACAAAGCAGAAGTGTTATAAGAAGAGCAGAGTATTGAGAGTAAAAGAAGGTGAAAAGAGTGATGAGAGAGGCAAAAGGAGAGCAATGATGAGTGGGGGAGGCACGTCAAGAAATTTTAATGAAAAAAAAAAAAATTTTTGGGTGAGTTAAACAAGTAAGAAAGCCCAGGAAAGTAGGATTTGTCAGTTAAAATTCCATTTTTTTTCATCTCTGCCTTTTAAAGGGCAGTTATTTGTATATACTTTTCGATTATGGAAACCTCGGAGGCATTAACCTGTAGGCTAGGTCAACACATAATGTTTCTATCTCTTGAATTTTCCTCTTTTTGCTCTTCTTTTGCTTGCCATTTAACCCTGTCTGGTCCTGGTCAGTTTTCTCCGATGCATTTTGTCTGCGACGTCTGTTATGTTTCCTTGTTTTTGGCTTTCTTACCATAGCCATCTTCAGTGTATCGCCGGTTGGTCTCCTCCAGAGTTTGACTGGTGCGATCAGTCCCATGGCACTCATTGTAATTGACATGAGGACACACAACACAGTCATTGTGAAGGGAGTAGAGGAACACTCATCACAGCGTGATGTCACCTCAAGAAGTGTTGTTTTGAGATTTTGGATTTCCACGTAACATTCGTAAGCGGTGATGAAGCGACCAATGATGGGCAGCCACCTTGGATCAAACTGAAGGTCACTGTTGGCACTTGTCTCTTGTACTGGGGTGTTGCTCACATATCGCCACACATCAACTACAGTTGAGAGAGAGAACCAATAGAACACTGGCTGGCAAGCATCAGTAGCTTGGTTAACCTCTCTTCTGAGGTCGTCTCTCTCCTTTTCTAAATCACGAACCCATGGATCGAAAAGCTGATAATAACAACCCAATATTTCCAGAATGATTCCCACTGCCAGCATCCACAAGCAGCAGGTTTTCAGTGCCATTTTGCAAGACATTTTGATGACTCTTATGCTTAGTGTTTAGTGCTTTATTTGATTATAATTTGATTTTGAATCTTAAGCTCAGTTATTTCAATCATATATTAATATAATAAATGATGCCCCATTTTATTAAATATATCAATATTCTGAAAAAATAGTGACCTTCGAATTTTCATTTTATAATTGAGTGTGTGTGTAGAATTTATTTAACCCTTTCAGGGTCCGTCCCGTAGATCTACGGCTTTATGTTCAGGGTCCAAACCGTAGATCTACGCCATGAGCTCAGCTCACTCTGATAAACTGTGAGTGGTACATTTGGGCCTAGATATGAGAGAATACATCTATGTGGTATGTGTGCACCACATAAAACAGATCCTGCAGCACACTGTGTATAATGAGAGAAAAAAAATGAAATCATGATTTTTCGATTAAAACAGCAACTTTGCAGTGTTTTTTCGTATGTTTTTTATAGTTGTATTTGCGATTTCTTGGTCTCATTTGATAGAATGGAAGACATATTACAGAAATAGAGATGATTTTGATTGGTTTTAGCATTGGAAATGGCTTGAAACTGAGCTCAAAGTAGCGGAAATGTTAAATTTTTGCCGATATTCAAGAGTAAACAAACGACCTCACACGTCTAATACACACCAGCTGGTGGTCTAATATACATTCACAAATATGGTGATGATATTTATACAATTATTACAGTATTGCATAACAGTAAATCATCTATTTTTTGGTGTGAATAAAAATTCATTATGTGAATAAAAAATCAAAATGGAATTTATTTGTAAAGCCTCAAAACATAACTAATGAACAGAGGAAATGTTATTTTTAGTGCCAGGAATGCCTACATTGTTTATTCTGGACCCTATTTTGAAATTGGAATATTTTGAACTTTGTGTTAAATTGGCCAAATTAACAATTTCCGATCACTTTATTTTGTAGTTGAAACAGTTGACTTGGCGATTTCTTGTGCTCAATCGATAGAATAGAACTAATACTAGTGAAATAGCTAAGAATTTGGTTGATTGGAATAATGTAATTGGCCTAAAATGGGAGTCAAAGTCGGCAAAATCGCCGATTCGTAAATATCGCTGACACATCAAAATTCGCGAGAGCATAATTTCGTCAATTTTCCACCAGATTTCGTACTTTTTGTTTTATTACCTTCACAAAAAGATTCTCTACGATTTCATAAGAAAAAATAACGAATTTTTTTTTTGAAAATTCTTGGACACTGGTGCGTGACTCCAGATTTGGGCCTTGGACCCTGAAAGGGTTAAATGGAAGGGAACTGAAATTTTATAGTGTAACAGTGTAAGTGTTTTGTGATGTGAGATGTAGTATAATGTGTAGTGATAGTGAAGTGCTGTATAGTGATAAGTATAGTGTTTAGGGATAGTGTATTATAGTTTTTCCTCTTTTCTTATTGTCTTACTGGCCCATGCTAGGCAGGTCATTATAAAACTCAGTTCTACCAACAAAAATATTTGCCCAACCGATTTTCTATGCTACCCAGGAATAAGTTTTGATTGTAGTTATGTCTATTCTTGATGTAGTTATGTTTAGCCTGGGCGTAGTTACATCTAGTCTGGATGTAGTTACATCTAGCCTGGACATAGTTACATCTAGCCTAGACATACATAGTTACATCTTGCCTGGACGTACATAGTTACATCTAGCCTGGGCGTAGTTACATCTGTCCTGGGCATAGTTACATCTATCCTGGGCATAGTTACATCTATCCTGGGCATAATTACATCTAGCCTGGACGTAGTTGCATGTAGCCTGGACGTAGTTATGATCTCTCCACATTAATAGATATAAACAGTATTTAAATAAATTAAAGTCTATTTCTCAAATGATTTGTTGGGATTTAAATAATTATTTTTATTATGGAGTACATCTTGTCTCCACGTAAGTTAATATTGAGCACAGGTATTGTAATATATACATCTCCTCAACAAAATATTCTCAACAAAAAAATATCTTAATGTAAACATAGGAACTGATTATAAATAAAACTCCTAAATCATAATTCACTAAACAAAAATATTTCCTTCTTCATTAAATAAATATTTAACTCACACACCAACACTCTTGTGTCTTTTGTTTTTACCATTGGTGAGGCTTTTCACCTTGCGCTTGTTTGCAGTCATTTTATTCATCTCTGCCTTCTTAGGGTCAGTTATTTTGTATATACCTTTTTGGTTACTGGCACCTCGGAGGGCAGTTAACCTGTAGGCCAGTTCAGCATCGTTAATTGTTTCTATCTCGTTAATTTTCTTCTTTTTACTCTTCTTTTGCTCGTCATTTAATCCTTTCTGGTCCTGGTCAGTTTTCTCCGATGCATTTTGTCTGCGACGTCTGTTATGTTTCCTTGTTTTTGGCTTTCTTACCATAGCCATCTTCAGTGTATCGCCGGTTGGTCTCCTCCAGAGTTTGACTGGTGCGATCAGTCCCATGGCACTCATTGTAATTGACATGAGGACACACAACACAGTCATTGTGAAGGGAGTAGAGGAACACTCATCACAGCGTGATGTCACCTCAAGAAGTGTTGTTTTGAGATTTTGGATTTCCACGTAACATTCGTAAGCGGTGATGACGCGACCAATGATGGGCAGCCACCTTGGATCAAACTGAAGGTCACTGTCGGCACTTGTCTCTTGTACTGGGGTGTTGCTCACATATCGCCACACATCAACTACAGTTGAGAGAGAGAACCAATAGAACACTGGCTGGCAAGCATCAGTAGCTTGGTCAACCTCTCTTCTGAGGTCGTCTCTCTCCTTTTCTAAATCACGAACCCATGGATCGAAAAGCTGATAATAACAACCCAATATTTCCAGAATGATTCCCACTGCCAGCATCCACAAGCAGCAGGTTTTCAGTGCCATTTTGCAAGACATTTTGATGATTCTTATGTTTAGTGTTTAGTGCTTTATTTGATTATAATTTGATTTTGAATCTTAAGCTCAATTATTTCAATCATATATTAATTAAATAAATGATGCCCCATTTTACTAAATATATCAATATTCTGAAAAATAGTTATCTTCGAATTTTCATTTTATAATTGAGTGTGTGTGTAGAATTTATTTAAATGGAAGGGAACTGAAATTTTATAGTGTAACAGTGTAAGTGTTTTGTGATGTGAGATGTAGTATAATGTCTAGTGATAGTGAAGTGTTGCATAGTGATAATAAGTATAGTGTTTAGTAGTAGTGTAGTATAGTGTTTCTCCTTTCTTATGGTCTTACTGGCCCATACTAGGCAGGTCTTTATAAAACTCTGTTCTACCAACAAAAATATTTGTCCAACCCATTTTCAGTGCTACCCAGGAATAAGTTTTGATTGTAGTTATGTCTATCCTTGATGTAGTTATGTTTAGCCTGGGCGTAGTTACATCTAGTCTGGACATACATACATCAAGCCTGGGTGTAGTTACGTCTAGCCTGGGCATAGTTACATCTATCCTGGGCGTAGTTACATCTATCCTGGGCGTAGTTACATCTAGCATGGATGTAGTTACTTCTAGCCTGGACATATATAGTTACATCTTGCCTGGACGTACATAGCTACATCTAGCCTGGGCGTAGCTACATCTGTCCTGGGCATATGCCCAGGATAGATGTGACACATCTATCCTGGGCGTAATTACATCTAGCCTGGACGTAGTTGCATGTAGCCTGGGCGTAGTTATGATCTCTCCACATTAATAGATATAAACAGTATTTAAATAAATTAAAGTCTATTTCTCAAATGATTTGTTGAGATTTAAATAATTATTTTTATTATGGAGTACATCTTGTCTCCACGTAAGTTAATATTGAGCACAGGTATTGTAATATATACATCTCCTCAACAACATAATCTCAACAGAAAAATATCTTAATGTAAACAAAGGAACTGATTATAAATAAAACTCCTAATCATAATTCACTAAACAAAAATATTTCCTTCTTCATTAAATAAATATTTAACTCACACACCAACACTCTTGTGTCTTTTGTTTTTACCATTGGTGAGGCTTTTCACCTTGGCCTTGTTCGCAGTCATTTTATTCATCTCTACCTTCTTAGGGTCAGTTATTTTGTATATACCTGTTTGGTTACGGGCACCTCGGAGGGCAGTTAACCTGTAGGCTAGTTCAACATCGCTAATTGTTTCAACCTCATTAATTTTCTTCTTTTTGCTCTTCATTTGCTTGCCATTTAACTGTGTCTGGTCCTGGTCAGTTTTCTTCGATGCATTTTGTCTGCGACGTCTGTTATGTTTGCTTGTTTTTGGCTTTCTTACCATAGCCATCTTCAGTGTATCGCCGGTTGGTCTCCTCCAGAGTTTGACTGGTGCGATCAGTCCCATGGCACTCATTGTAATTGACATGAGGACACACAACACAGTCATTGTGAAGGGAGTAGAGGAACACTCATCACGGCGTGATGTCACCTCAAGAAGTGTTGTTTTGAGATTTTGGATTTCCACATAACATTCGTAAGCGGTGATGACGCGACCAATGATTGGCAGCCACCTTGGATCAAACTGAAGGTCACTGTCGGCACTTGTCTCTTGTACTGGGGTGTTGCTCACATATTGCCACACATCAACTACAGTTGAGAGAGAGAACCAATAGAACACTGGCTGGCAAGCATCAGTAGCTTGGTCAACCTCTCTTCTGAGGTCGTCTCTCTCCTTTTCTAAATCACGAACCCATGGATCGAAAAGCTGATAATAACAACCCAATATTTCCAGAATGATTCCCACTGCCAGCATCCACAAGCAGCAGGTTTTCAGTGCCATTTTGCAAGACATTTTGATGATTCTTATGTTTAGTGTTTAGTGCTTTATTTGATTATACTAATTTGATTTTGAATCTTAAAACCCAAATTATTTCAAACATATATTTAAAAAAATAAATGAGCCCCATTTTACTAAATTTAAACAATATTTTTGAAAAATGTTTTTCTTCGAATTTTCATTTTTATAATTGATGGTTTTTTAGAATATTTAAATGGAAGGGAACTGAAATTTTATAGTTAAATGTAAGTGTTTTTTTGAGTGAATGTAGTATAAAGTCTAGTGATATGAAGTGCTGTATATGATAAAAAGTATAGTGTTTAGTAAATAGTTATTATTTTTCTCCTTTTTTAGGTCTTACTGGCCCATACTAAGCAGTTTTAAAATGCTATCAACAAAATATTTTTCCAACCCATTTCAGTGCTACCCAGGGAAAAAGTTTGATTGTAGTTTTGTCATCCTTTATGTAGATTTTACCGGGGATATTTTCATCTAGTCTGGACATACATACATCTAGCCTGGGGGTAGTTTTTGTCTAACCGGGCGTAGTTACATTTTCTCTGGGGGTATTACATCTAGCCGGATGGGAGTTAAATCTACCCGGATGAATTACATCTAGCCTGGAGTGTTACATCTAGCCTGGGTATAGTTACATCTAGCCTAGACATACATATTTCATCTTCCCCGGGCGACATAGTTACAAACGTCCTGGGGCAAGTTAATCTACCTGGGGATGTTACATCATCCTGGGGATAATTACATCTACTTGGACGTATTCAGTAGCCTGGCGTAGTTATGATCTCCACATAATAGATAAAACAGTAATTTTAAAAAAATTAAAATCTATTTTCTCAAATATTGTTGGGGTTTAAATAATTATTTTTATTATGGAGTACTCTTTTTTTTCCCCCCTACGTAATTAATATTGAGCACAGGGTATTTTAATATATACACCCTCAAAAAAATATTCTCCAAAAAAAAAATATCTTTAAAGTAAAAAAGGAACTATTATAAATAAAAATCCAAATCAAAAATTTACTAAACAAAAATATTTCCTTCTTTATTAAATATAATATTTAACTCACACACCTACCTCTTGTGTCTTTTGTTTTTTACCATTTGGGGAGGCTTCCTCACGTTGTGCGCTTGTTTGCAAGTTCATTTATTCATCTCTGTCTCTTAGGGTCAGTTAGTTTGTATATACCTTTTTGGGTTTAATGGCACCTCGAGGGCAGTTAAACCTGTAGGCCAGTTCAGCATCGTTAATTGTTTCTATCTCACGTTAATTTTTCTTCTTTTGCTCTTCTTTTGCTATGCCATTTTAACCCTGTCCGGGTCCTGGTCAGGTTTTCTTCGATGCATTTTGTCTGCGGGAACTCTGTTATGTTACCTTGTTTTGGCATTTCTTACCAGACCAATCTCAGTGTACCGCCGGGTTGGTCTCCTCAGAGTTTGACTGGTGCGATTACGTCCCCATGGCACTCTTTTTAAATTGACATGAGGACACACAACACAGTCATTGTGAAGGGAGTAGAAGATACACTCATCACATAGCGGATGTCATCTCAAGAAGTTTGTTTTGAGATTTTTTTGGATTTCCACGTAACATTCGTACGTGATGACGCGACCAATGATGGGCAGCCACCTTGATCAAACTGAAGGTCACTGGGTCGGCACTTGTCTCTTTACTGGGGTGTTGCACTCATATCGCCATCACATCCAACTACAGTTGAGATAGAGAGAACCAATAAAAATTGGCTGGCAAGCATCAGTACTTGTCAACCTCTCTTCTGAGGTCCGTCCTCTCTCCTTTTCTAAATCACGATCCCAGGATCCGAAAAGCTGAAAATTAACAACCCCTTATACCCACTATTTTCCAGATATTCCCACTGCCAGCATCCACAAGCAGCAGGTTTCATGCCATGTTGCACAAACATTTGGATGATTCTTGGTTAACCTCTCTTCTGAGGTCGTCTCTCTCCTTTTCTAAATCACGAACCCATGGATCGAAAAGCTGATAATAAGAACCCAATATTTCCAGAATGATTCCCACTGCCAGCATCCACAAGCAGCAGGTTTTCAGTGCCATTTTGCAAAACATTTTGATGATTCTTATGCTTAGTGTTTAGTGGTTTATTTGATTATACTAATTTGATTTTGAATCTTAAGCTTAATTATTTCAATCATATATTAATATAATAAATGATGCCCCATTTTATTAAATATATCAATATTCTGAAAAAATAGTGACCTTCGAATTTTCATTTTATAATTGAGTGTGTGTGTAGAATTTATTTAAATGGAAGGGAACTGAAATTTTATAGTGTAACAGTGTAAGTGTTTTGTGATGTGAGATGTAGTATAATGTCTAGTGATAGTGAAGTGCTGTACAGTGATAAGTATAGTGTTTAGGGATAGTGTATTATAGTTTTTCCTCTTTTCTTATGGTCTTACTGGCCCATACTAGGCAGGTCATTATAAAACTCAGTTCTACCAACAAAAATATTTGCCCAACCGATTTTCTGTGCTACCCAGGAATAAGTTTTGATTGTAGTTATGTCTAGCCTGCATGTAGTTACATCTAGCCTGGGTGTAGTTATGTCTAGCCTGGGCATAGTTACATCTATCCTGGACGTAGTTGCATGTAGCCTGGACGTAGTTGCATGTAGCCTGGACGTAGTTATGATCTCTTCACATTAATATAGATATAAATAGTATTTAAATAAAGTAAAGTACACCTACCATCCGACTTACGACCGAGTTCGGTTCCGAGAAACCGGTCGTAAGTCGAAATGGTCGTAAGTCGAACTTTACTACTGAATATCAACAAAACATTTTTGTAATGACTTTATTTTATTGTTTTATTTTGGTATTTCATGTTTTACTTTACTTTTTATGTTGTTATTACTGTGTTTTATACTGTAAGGTTTAGGATAAACACTGTGTACAACACAAATAGTTGTTTATTTCCCAGAAATTTGGCAAAAAAAACACGGTCGTAAGTTGAGTGGTCGTAAGTCGGATGGTAGGTGTATTTCTCAAATGATTTGTTGGGATTTAAATAATTATTTTTATAATGGAGTACATCTTGTCTCCATGTAAGTTAATATTGACCACAGGTATTGTAATATATACATCTCCTCAACAAAATATTCTCAACAAAAAAATATCTTAATGTAAACATAGGAACTGATTATAAATAAAACTCCTAAATCATAATTCACTAAACAAAAATATTTCCTTCTTCATTAAATAAATATTTAACTCACACACCAACACTCTTGTGTCTTTTGTTTTTACCATTGGTGAGGCTTTTCATGTTGTGCTTGTTTGCAGTCATTTTATTCATCTCTGCCTTCTTAGGGTCAGTTATTTTGTATATACCTTTTTGGTTACTGGCACCTCGGAGGGCAGTTAACCTGTAGGCCAGTTCAGCATCGTTAATTGTTTCTATCTTGTTAATTTTCTTCTTTTTGCTCTTCTTTTGTTTGCCATTTAACCCTGTCTGGTCCTGGTCAGTTTTCTTCGATGCATTTTGTCTGCGACGTCTGTTATGTTTCCTTGTTTTTGGCTTTCTTACCATAGCCATCTTCAGTGTATCGCCGTTGGTCTCCTCCAGAGTTTACTGGTGCGATCAGTCCCATGGCACTCATTGTAATTGACATGAGGACACACAACACAGTCATTGTGAAGGGAGTAGAGGAACACTCATCACAGCGTGATGTCAAACCCCAAGAAGTGTTTTGAGATTTGGATTTCCACGAAAAATTTGTAAGCGTGTACGCGACCAATGA